AAGATAGTGGCCCTGTCACTCCTCCAGGTGCTGGTGGGGAGAAGTCAGCCGGTGCCAAGTTGGCGGCTGCCCGGCCCGACTGGCCTGAGAAGGTGGGTGCTGGGCCAGGTGAAGGTGCCTGTCGATGTGATCCCCAATACTCACACACCATTGTCTGGGCACCCCCATCCAGGTCACAGCACGACTCTGTTCCAGGGGAGGGGTTTGTGGAAACTGTGAAAAGGGGGAGGGAAGGAGCACCTTGTCCTCGATTCACCCAGGAGGCTGCCCCTCCCCCAGGCCAGGCCAAGGAAGGGGTGAGTCTCTGAGGCCAAATCCACCCCTGGTGGCCACTCCCCTCCCACAGCGTGGGGGGCTTCCCTTTCCTTTGTAGGCTGCCTTTCATGTGTTCTGTACCTGGGTACCTGAAGCCCAGAATGGGAAGCAGCCTGAAGAACCCTGTCAACAGACCACACGTCTCCATGTTCATTTCAGGAAACTGAGACCCGGACAAGAACTGGAGCCGAGTCCCAAGCCTCCTTCCCTCCACTAACTTTTTACCCTTAGTCTCAGTGACAGTCTCCCCTCTGCACCCCTGTACCCCTAGTCCCCTCTGTCTCCTGCTCCAGCAGCTGCCCTGGTGGTAAATCCTGGAGCAGGGGTGGGGAGTGCAGCTCAGAGCAGCTGCTTTTCTGAGGAAGCTGACACCGTGGCCAGCCGCTCAGCAACAACTTGTGGCTTTGCACCCAGCACCGGGGTCCCCGCCCACCTGGCTGCTTCTAGCCTGCTCTCTGCTGACCCTTTTGCCCACCCTCGGACTTCCCTCTAACCCTGGCAGCCTGGGCTCTCTGGTCCCTCTCCCTTCTGGCCCTATTCTGTCCTCATTCCCCCTAGACCATCCCCTCCCCATTCCTTTGTTCTAGAGCCTCTGCTCTGCTGGCTTCCCAGGCCCCATTCCCTGTCACCTCTCAGTGGGCATGCCCAGTGCCTGAGCACACAGCTCCCCCACTCCTTCAGGACAGTAGCATCATAAGGACCACGTGCCTCTGGGGTCAGCCATGCAAACTCCTTGGGTTAAAGAGAGTGCAGTGTGGGATGAGGTGACCCTCATTCCAGGAGTTGGGGTGACCCCCGCCCTCATCCTGAAAGGGTGCTTCCTCTCCCACTGCCATCAGCACATTCTGTGGCCTCTTGGGTTACCCAGCTGCCTGGGTGTCCCATTTTCTTGGGGGGGGATTCCCTGTACAAGGATGGAGGGGCCCTGAAGGCTGTGTACCTAGAGGCTGTTAGAGCGATTGGGGGGGGCCAGTTTAGGGGAGAGACAGGCAGTCCTGGCTTTGCTCACTAGGGCCTGGACACTAAATCCCTTGTTGATGGCTGCGGCAACCCCTCCCTAGGGTAGGATTACCATCTTCTGCCCTGTCCCCTTGACCCTCTCCCCTCCTTACTTCCCCTTGTCCCTCCAGAGCCACTTCCTCTGGCCCCCAAAAGATATTCTTCCCCTGTCCAGTCCTCTGAAGGCTTGGAGTATCTCTGCTTATCGTTCAACAAACCAGGTGAGGAAGGAGATGCAGTGATGGGAACAGGTTCAGGGAGGATGGACAGGAAGGGGTGCGAGGACAGCGAAAGGCGAGGCCTGAGACTGGGGAAGACCTCCAGGGAAGAAATGCAGGGATGAGCACGAAGTAGAAAATTCAGTGCACCTGGGGAAGTCGAGGCCATTGAAGGGGTCACCAGCCGATGACAGAGTGAAGTCTCCCTGCCCCCCCT